AATATCACGATTAATTATTTTTTAGAATTGCATTATTTTACATTAATTATTAATTATCCCACTAGGGTTTTCAAGGGTGTGTATGGTATAATAGAATTAATTAATAAAATACGATTAATTTTTATTTGATTTTGGCCTAATTGCCGGTAATATCACGATCTTACAACTTTTGGCGATTTTAACCGAACTTTTGGAATTTAGCAAATATATACACCACTTTGGCTATTGTTGGCAATTCAAATCACATGGCCCAATTTCAGGCTTTGTCTGCTGACATGGCAGCTGACATAGCGATTTCTGCTGACATGACAATTTTCTGCTGACATTGTTGCTGACATGGCGAACAAAAAAAAGTATTAACAACGCTGGGCTTCGAATTTTTAGGACCTCAAGGTTACATGATGGTATTGTAACCACCACACCAATCCAAGTTAGATGTTAAATTTAATAGCGTCTAATATATATAGATACTACGCATGAATAAATTAAATAAAATTTAAAAGATAACGTAAATTATATTAATAAGATATAAACTTATAAGAATTACAATATAATGAAATAAATTATATAATATTAAATGAAAAAAATGAACTCTATTTATTCATAGTGTCTATATATACTAAGCTCTTTTAAATTTAACATAGAACTTGGATTAGTGTGGTGGTTACAATGATGTCATGCAACCTTGAGGTCCCAAGTTCGAACCCAGAGCCGTTTAAATTTTCTATCGCCATGTCAGCAGAAAATCGCATGTCAGTTGACATGTGAGCAAAAAAAATGCCATGTCAGCAGACAAAACCCGAAATTGGGCCCTGTGATTCGAATTGCCAACAATAGTCAAAGTTGTGTCTACCGCCATGTCGGCAGAAAATCGCATGTCAATTGACATGTCAGCAAAAAAATGACATGTCAGCAGAAAAAGCCCGAAATTGGGTCATGTGATTCCAATTGCCAACAATAGTCAAAGTGGTGTATATATATTTGTCAATTTTAAAGGTGGTGCATATAATTGCCAAAACGTTATTGCCACGTCAATAGAAAATCGTCATGTCAACAGCATGTTAGCCATGTCAGCCAAAAAATAGTCATGTCAGTTGAAATGTCAGCAAAAAATCGCGTCATGTCAGCAGACAAAGCCCAAAATTGGGCCACGTGATTCGAATTCTCAACAATAATCAAAGTGATGTATATATTTGCCAAATTCGAAGGTGGTGCATATAATTGTCAAAATGTGTAAGATTGTGACATTACCGCCACTTATGCCTAGGGGTGAGCATCGACCAAAAACCGAAAATGTTAAAATATCCAAACCGAACCGCACCGAGTTTGGAGAAAAAACCGAACCAAAACAGCACCGAAAATTTCGGTTTGGTGCGGTTTCGGTGCGGTTATAACCGCAAATAAAAAAATAAAAAAATAAAATTGAACACCATGTGTATATACAGAACCAAAACACATAAACAAAACCCAAAATAACCAAGCAATTTTCCTTACATATCTCAGAAAAGAAAAACCAAATTAAAAACGAATCAAATGCCATTAGATTACACGAAAGCACTCCATCCTCACACCTTCATAACCAAAGGCAAATTCAGAAAATAAAAACAGAACTACATTACTAATCTGTGTGCAATTAAGGACAGAGAGAGTGAGAGATTCAGTGCGAAAGACATAAATTAGAGACGACGGAGGTCGGAGGATCGACGAGCGAGCGTTGGATGCCGGAGATTGGGGACGCAAATAGAAGCTGGCGGCGGGCCGGCGAGAGACGGAGTGAATGGTGAGAGAGACGAGAGCATCTGAAAAACTAGCTCAACGAGCATATGATTTTTTAATTGTAATGTAAAATATATATATATATATATATATATATATATATATATATAAATCGTGGTAGCTGTGGTCAGGTAAGAGAAAATGACACTTTTAGGCTTAAAATGACACCTTTAAGGCTTAAGTCAACCGCACTGAAATTTTCGGTTTTTCAATTTCTTAACCGCACTGCAAACTGACCTGTCCAGAAACCGAATTGAACCGCACCGAATACCTTGGTTCGGCTCGATTTTGCTCAGCCCTACTTATGTCTTAGAAAATTAGAACCTTGCTGACACGTTAAAAGTTCCAGCTCTCAATTTCTCGCTGTTTCTTCAATGGAGGTCGTAAGCCAAGACGGAACCCGGATCCGGATGGGCCCTGGTCAAACCCAGGAACTCGGCCGAGCCCACGGACTCAGCTCCGTCGACAAAACAATTTCCCGGCGTCAAGTCTCGCTCTCTATCCTTCTAGCCCCAAGCGTTGGACAAGAAACCCTCATTCAGTTTGAAGTCCTCGGCAGAAACCCCATCTACGTGAGCCAAGGCGGTGGAGTCAAGATTTTCAGAAGATTCGAGAGGGGAGAGATGCGCGACGGCGATATGTTCTGCGTTTCAGCCAAGAATCCCGTTTGGTACGCTATAAGGAAAATTGATAATGGTGACGAGGGAGGTGCTCGACGAAATGACCCAGAGAGCGAATTGGGTGCGAATTTGGAGAGTGGTTTCGACTCGAGGGGATTTGAAGATATGGGGCAAGCGGCTGTGGATTTTTTGGGTTTGGATCCTGTCAAAGGTTCGTTTTTTTTTTTTTGCAGAACTTGATTTCTTAATGTGAGTTGTTTCAGGTTTGTAAATTGATCTAGTTTTTGACATCTGAGTTGTGGGCTTAGTAGGTAGTTGGTACTAAGCTGCTAAGTAAAAATGTTTGGTGATTGTTTTTTGAAAAATAATTTTTCGACTTCCAGACCATGAATTCTAGGATTCTTGTTCTTGTTGTTTCCATTGTAGATATCATGATACGTTATCGAATTTTGTCTGCTTTAACCACATAATTCGAATTCTTTGCCGATTACTCTCTCGGTGATTTGTTTTTGCTAAAAATAGTTAGTTCTGTTTGCAGAATTTGGTTTCCTGGCAATAGGGCATGAGTTTGATTCCTATCCGGTGAAAATGATTCGCGATATCAAGCAATGGGATTGGTTTCTTGAGGAAGCAAAAAAGGATGTTGATGATGAAGACGAAGATGAGGCTAAAACAGGGAAAAAGAGCTCGAGAAGGAAAAGGAAGAAAGGCACCGAGAATGATGACGAGGATTGGTCAGCAGAAAGTGAAGATGACAAAAGTATAATCGACAAATTAAGAAAAAGTCAGAAGCCTAAATACATGACAAGGTCAAAGGACCGAGGGAAAAATAGTAAAAAAGAAGATGCAAGCAAGAGAAAAAGCCCGACTGTGAAAGAAACAAGAGAAATTGATGATGATGAAAAGGATGAGGATGAGGATGATGAGACGCTGGGTGGTTTTATTGTCGATGATGAAAACATGGAGGATGAGGAAGAAAATCGGGACGAAGAGGAAAATGAAATTGAAGAAGAAGAAGAATTAGTTGACGAAGATGAAGATGAAGATGAAGATGAATGAGAGTAAGACTAGATATGAGGGTTATAGTGCCTAACTTTTACTTGGGAGCGTGTGAAGGTTAGATTGCTTATTGTATGTAACTTGTTTGTATGCTTTAGGAAAATTACATTACGTCTTGACTATCGGCTGTTTTGGTCTTTGTGTACATGGCTCTGTACAGTGTTGTAACAACTATAATTGAGATTTCCAATTTATGGGGTGAGGGGTCATGTATGATACTCAATGAAAATGAGTCCACCCAAACCTAACATAGTGTAAGGGATGCCGATCTTCCCGTCTTTCCTAGAACCTCTCTCGATTGTCAGATCTTGACTCGAGTTTCGACTCTTCGTTAAATTTTTTTAGCCATTCCTTTGATGAAATAGAGTTCTTAGGTTTGAAAGTGTTGAATGTAGTTTGTTTTTAGGTTTGAAAGTGATGAAAGGCGGTGACGTCGTGGCTGATTGAAGTGGGGAAGCTCCTATTTTAGTTCACTATTTTTTTTTGTTGGTGTGTCAGCGGATCACATGGCGAGCTTGGCGGCATCCTATCCGGTTGGCCTACAGCGACTCTCTTTACCTCCTGTGGGACTGGGAGATTGGCTTGATCACGATTGCGTTGGGGTATCATATCCCCGGCAAATATTAGCTTAAGCCTTTGGCCTCCTTCTTTGTACCAAAAAAAAAAAGGTTGCTTTTGCCGGAAAAAAGCTTTCCGACGAGTGACGCGCCACCAGAGGAGGTTTAATTTGTTGTTATTTTCTCATTGTGGAGTATTCTAGTCTTCTTTAGTTAAGAGTTTTATAGGGTATCCCTTTTTGGAGGGGAAGCTCTATGTTGATGATACCGACGTTGATTCATTTCTTTCTGTATCTTGACATTAAAAACTTTTACTTTTGTAACTACCTGTCAAACTTACTTTGAGTGTATATATTGTACTTTTGAAAAAAATAAATAAATTAGATGTATATATGTTGTAGTTTTTTTAAGTATTGTGGGTGAGTTTTAGTGTAGTTGATTCTAGGCTACCAATTTTTCGTTATGTAGATCTCTCTTTGGATTCAGTTGTATAGTTATTTTAGTCAACTGCTCTAGTTGTTTTCTGAATCGTAAATATGCGTTTTATCTTTAAAATCTATCACTTTTGAAAAAGAAAAGAGTGAAAAAACTAAGGGTGTATTTGTATATAAAATAACTCAATTCATATTCAAAATTTAACTCAACTTTAATCCAACCACTCAATCATTAATATTATCAATATAATTAAATATTATTTATCAATCATTCCTACAAGCACATCAAGTTTAGTTCATTATTCATTCACTCACATAATTTTAACTATCAATCACTTCACATCATCTCTCTTATACTTTTACATCAAATCAATTTTAATTATTTTATTTAAATATTATTTTAATATAAATTTAAAATTTCACTTATCACAAATTATATTACCTTTTTCAAAATTATGTTTAACAAAAAAATAAAAATAAAAACTCATTTGAGCAGATATATTCATATCCAAGCAAGCCCTCACTATAATAAATAGATAAAACAATGAGGAAAGATAAAAGGAAAAAAAAATTAATACAAAATCCACTTTGATTCCTTAATTAGGGTTTAACAGTAACTGTCATTGTCCCAAACCTTCGATTTCGCAAAAATGGCGTCCTCCAAAAACCTTTTCCGCACTGGAGTTTCTCTGATGAACCGTTTCCTCAACCAGACAGCCCATCCTAACCCGAATTCGATTATATGTCACAGTCCCGAACCGATTGCCCCTCGGAAATTAGTTCCCACTCTGTTTATCCCTCAGTCTCACAAGACGACGCCGTTGCGATTCCAGCCGGATCAGGACGCCGTCGAGCCGATCATAAATCTGTCATCCGAGGGCTTTCTCTACCCTTCCGGCCTCCCTTCTCTTCCGTTCTTCCTGCCCGAAGGTAAAATTGTAATCTTTCATTTAAAATTGTTCCTTAAGATTTGAAATCTAAAGAGTTTATTAGCTCAATTATATTGTTTTATTTGTCTATTATCTAAAATTTTGCAGCTTGCTTGAATATAAATACATTTGGGCTATCATGTTTCAGTCTTCTGTTTAAGTCCCCTGATTAGGTTTCCATAGCCAGTGAGATTTTATTTGATTTAGGCCCTTCATCATGGTTTAGATGATAATATATGAAAATAAAAATTCAAGCCCTTTCTAATATGAGCTGGCTTTCTGGTTTTAGTGTTTTCGAATGCCTTTAAATCTTTTTCTTTTTTTCTTCTCTCCCAAAGAGACTAAAATTTGATGCCATTGCTTGGGAATCTGGTTGGATTTTGACCCTCCTTCATCCTCGATTTTTTTTTTTTCTTCCGACCTAAAATGCCGACTGAAATAAGTAGATGCTCGGATTGGAGTGCTTGCTAAGCTTGTGTTGTACTTAGTTATCCAACTGAATAAAAATGCTCTCGTCCCATGTTGAAAAGCAGGACCTACTGGACATGGTTGTACTTAGTGAATTGTAGACTAAAAAATGCTCAAGCCCCATGTTGTACTTAGTGAAATTGTAGACTAAATATTATCCATAACAGGATATGGTTGTAAGGCACCACAAGAACTTCCACTTATGCTACGCAACATCCTCTGTCCGTAGTTTGATTGGTCATTTATAATGCTTTTATTTAAAAGTCGGTCTTTTAAGATCTGTAAAATGATTGGAGTTCACCCAATTACTGCTGTGTGACATGGTATATAATAGTTTTCTTTGTGGTGATCGTTGTTAGAAGATCGAATATTATAATAGTTTACTGTGATCAAGCATCCTAAATTAAGAAGTTAGTTGTATGCTAATCCTTAAGCAGTCTTCTTGGATGATGAGTGTGGAACGATTTTTGCATCATGACATTCATCTGATTTACACCATGTCCTTAAATGAGCGATGTTTTTTACATCTTGTTTGACTATCCTTGTATGCATACCTGTACCAGGATCAACATTGTACTTATTGAAAGAGAGAGACATTAGAAGAGTCATATGCGTGGCACTTTTGTAGGATGTTTCACAATTGAGGCAAATAATAGCTTGTTTTTCATTATTTGCACAGGGGAGGATTTTTGTGGTGATGTTGGCTGCAGTGTAAAAGGATGGGTCTTGTTGTATTGATAATAGAAATAGTTACAACTTGTTGTGTGATATTTCTCAGTGTTACAAGTACCTCGTATAAGTTTGCGGTTTGAAATGTGTTCTTAGTTACGTAATTGATGAACATGAATGATCTTTTAGTTTGAATGATCTAATCCAAAAAGGTGGATCTTCAGCTACTAAATTACTGTGTATATCAACTGTTTGTGAAACTGTGGTTCGGTAAAAACTTTTGAAAATTCTGGGTAAATTTAAAACATGGTTAAATGTAAAATAAAGTATTTGTGGACATGTTACTTGATTTAAAGTCTGTACGTCACAGAATTTCATGTTGTCATTGGACAAGCAACATCAATTGGGTACAAGAATTTGGGCTCATAGATAGTCATTAAGAGATTGGCTACGAATTATTGTGTCGTCCAATTTATTTGTCGAGTTTCCTTCTTTTTGATGTTATGTATGTTATAACTCTTTGTTCATCATCAACTCCCATTGAATTGGTTGCCACTAGTTTATTTGAGTTGGCAATGTTCAATCACTTAATACTTTTGATATGTTCTTTTTGACTCATAGCAGTTGAAGAGTCTTCGTCAAGCACACCTATGCATTTATTTCCAAAGAGAACCTACCAACCAAGCAACATCCGGCGCAAACGAACACATGGATTCTTTGCTAGGTTGGGCCCTCTCTCTCTCTCTCTCTCTCTCTCTCTCTCCTAAGTGCATTTATTTATACAGGCCTAACACTGTGGATTTGTAATCTTAAAGCATAATAATCTATATTCTTATTATTTATTTATTTTCTTTGTAACTTGACTTTAAGTAATGGGTACTTTTTGTGCTTAGTTCTTTCTTAGATGAAAGTTAAATCTCCATGTGCAGAACTAATGGGATAAATGCCAGAGTAATGCTTTTATTTTTACATGTTAATAGTAGCTCATATCCGGTGCATGAAAAATAAGTGGTTCTCTCATCCTGAACAGAAAAGCGACAAAGGGGGGCCGAAGGGTGATTGCTAGGAGAATTGCGAAGGGTCGTTCTAGAATCACAGCTTAACGTCCCCATTTCTAGCAAGTCAAATAGCATTTGCGTTTATTTGGGGGATAACTTGTCTAAGTATTCATCAATGTTGATTTGTGATTCATTGTTTGTTGTAATGCCTAGACATTGTTACCTTAAAGGTAATTTTCTCATACATATCGTTTTTCATTTTCTTTCTTTGGTGTTATTTATTTATTTTAATTTGAATTAGTAGAATAATATTGGTAGATATAAGTTGATGTTTGATACCATTTATGGAATTGTCTTTTTGATGTGAAATTATTTTATTGTATATATAACCTTCAAATTGGCTTATCGAACGAGTTGAACTTGAGTTTGTTTGTTTTGATAAGTAGGGTTGTTTATGTAATTTTGTGAAAATTTATCATAGTTCATTTGGTTAATGCTCGAGCTTGGCTTGCTATCGAGTTGAGCTCTAACTCGTTTATCGACGTGTTAATTTATCGAGCTGAGCTTGGCTTGATAAGGCCTCGAATCAGAGCTTGGCTCGGCTTGTTTATGGCTCTACTTCCAAAAGTACATTATTTGAAAAGAATTTTTGAAAAGTTAACTTCGCATAAGTCAACTTTTTGAATGACTGAAACTGCACCCATACAAAATGTCCTTGTTATGATGGGGCCGCGACCTCAAACCTTTTACTGGTATAGAATTTCGAATTTGTTACTAGAATCATATGTTACGTTCTAGAATCATACATTACGTTCACATAAATGCGAGTTCTCAAATATTTATGCACTAGCTAAAGAGTAGAACTTAACTCTTTTCAATATTATCAATATATTTAAATAATACTTATTTGTCATCCTCACATATCAATCAACTTTAATTCACTATTCATTCGTCACATATTTTTAACTATCCATCATTTCTAAGAACATATCTCATATTTTTACATCACATCAACTTTAATAAGATTCTATTATCAGAGTCATCACTACTCCTTTGCAAGGCTGTCGTCTCTTCTTCTTGTACCATGTCCAAGTTTGATAAATTTTAAATACTATTTAAATACAAAATAAAAAAATCTCACTTAATTCGCCACTCAATCAACTTTATTCAAAATTAACTCATTTTAACTCAAAATTCACTTAAAACCCGTTTTGATCCGTTAGGACTCCGGATTTTGATTTGTAATTCGAATAATTGTACTTGCACTTGCAAATTATAACATTGATCGGTGGGGTATTCTTGTACTAAAATTTGCTATATTTGGTCACCAACGGCCAAGAGAAGGTTTGAAAATGAGTTCTTCACTGTGAGTTGTCAAATAGTGGCTAGATTTTGTTGGAAAACTATGCATTGTTAAGAATTTGTCCAGGAAGAGGACTCATTCAAGATGCAATATAACATTTTATTCACCATGTGATTAATGACTTTAGAATGAATAATTGACATTAGTCAAATCATTTTTTAGTTCCATGCGTGCAGTAACTATTTTAACATGAGAGCCTTCTTAGTGGAGAAATGGAATAAATTAAAATATGAGAAATTATTTTATGGATTTCAAACTTCTAAATGAAATAATAAAAGTGGGATCCGAGATTGCAATCATACAGCCCTTGGATTTATTTATTTATTTTTTAATTAGGAAAATATTTTGAGTGAACTTGAAATTATCCAAATGTGTGATTATTCTGTGGTAGCTTTTAAATGAAAGAGTTTGTATGTGAAACCTCATAGTATATCTATTAATTTTATTTTTTTTTTGGATGAAAACGTTTGTCAATTAATAATCAAAGTGTAATATTAGTAAACAACAATGTGATTTTTGTGAAAAATGAAATATAGCCACGTGGAAAAAGATTATTTTTAGCCATAATAATATGAGAAATGACCAAAACACCCCTCCACAACTTTTTACTTATTTTTAAAGTTTCAGAAATGATTGTACTGTTTTCTGAAATAATTTAAACAATTTCTTGAATTTTATAATTAGTTTCTAGAATTTCAGAAATAGTTTCTAAAATACATAAACAGCGTCTTGAATTCTTCAAACAAATTCTAGATGTCAGTAATTATACATTATTTTTTATTAAAAAATAGCGAATAAAGGGTAAGTTTATCATATCATAAGACTAAATTATTAATATGCATGCTTCCATAAAAGGTGATTATATTTCATCTATGTATTTGCTATTTGGCTATAAACTCTGATATATATAGCCTCAATCAGTCGAGCTAGGTTTACTAGCTCGGAACGCTCGAGCTAGTCAAGTCAGACAGCTCGGGTCAATCAACTCGACTTTGACAATAAGACTGATAGGTTCTGGCCTATACTGCGAGCTAGCAAGGGACATAAAGAGAACCAGATGAATTGACAACCAGATATCCTTCTGTAAAATCGAAAGACCTGGACCGAAGAGGCCTATAAAAAAAAAAATATAAGAAAGAAAGAGGTCTAGGAATGAAAAGAAGCCGTACGTAAACATAATAAATATGGATGAATCTTAAGGTATATTGCCTAAGTATTGTAGGATTCGATATCTAAAGAGCTTGGGGAAGAAGATAACAAGTCCCTAAGGCTGAGTTTGTTAAAGGATTCACTCAAACCAAATAAATTCAACTCAAAATCTAACTCAACTTTAACTCAACTCCACTATCCTCAATATTATCAATATAATTAAATAATAATAATCAATTATTAAATAATAACAACCAATCACTTTTACACATCATATAAACTTTAATTCACTATTCATCCATTCACATAATTTTAACTAACCACTACATCATATTATTTATCTCCTACTTTTACATTAAACAAATTTTAATAATTTTATTTTAAATATTATTTTAATATAAACTCAAAATCTCACTAACAACTAACTACATCACTTTTTTTAAATTAACCCTAGTTAACTCAAAAAAAAATATTTTGAGTTAATTTACTCAAATTATTCCTTTAACAAACACACACTAAATATACTATCTCGGGTAAGAGGTGAAACCTAATGCTTATTTTTTCATATAATACTCTTGAAAAATATAATAACTTGAACGTCAGAATGCTTAAGTCGGGAATTCCTCCTGCCCCTTTTGCAATTAATCGGCTTCACTAGGGTGATTGGAGCATCTTAACTCGCCATTAATTTCAAATTCTGGTACATCAAGCCCGAGGGACTGATAATACAATTATCTATTTCAGATAATTGTATTATTTCGTTTGAGACATTTTGGTCAGTCTTAATTATCCAGTCATTTGGTCTTATAGTAACACATTTACATAAATTTATATTCATTTAGTTGTACACATCACCTAATCAAATAAGTTTCAAAAGCAAAGTACAAAAATTATTTGATATTCATTGTTTCAAATAATGTTTTATTACATGAAGTACTGCTGCAACAAGAAAATAAGAGTTTGTTGTACTTTGATAAATGTCATGTGTCTATGTCAATAATTGTAAACAATGTAACTTGGTCAACTCATCTTTAAAACATAAATCAAACTGTACGCTCAATCTAATTTGTGTTCCATTTTCTTTATTTTAATTTTTTGGAATTTGAGTTAGATTATTATGAGCATGATTGGATATAATTTTTTTTCGTTTTGATTGGATTTTTGGTTTGAGTTGGTTAAATTTGAAAAAGTTGGTGTGGTTAGTTGTTAATGAGTATATTAAAATAATGTTTAAAATAAAATGATTAAAATAATGTAAAAGTAAGAGAGATAAGATGTGATGTGATGGTTAGTTAAAATTATGTGAGTTGATGAATAGTGAGTTAAGGCTGATATTGTGTGTAAAAATGATTGATTGATATTATTTAATTATATTGATAACATTGATGATAGTGAGGTTGAATTAAAGTTAAATTTAAAAAAATAATTGAGTTAAAAATGATTGAATTTTTTGTGTTGAATTTATACAATCATGCTCTATAAACTTCGTACTATAATATTTACACGTTGAAAAATAGGCTAACAGAAGCTAGAATCGGAATGGAAATAACAACCATTAAGGTGCTAAAAACCATAATTTTATGATAAGGGTTGTGATTTTATATTTTTTATAAATTAGAAAAATTGGGGGTTGAGAAACCAAAACCGACAGAGAAAAAAATAAAAAAAATAAAAAACAAACAAGAAAAAACCCAGGGGTTGACTTTTGTTAAATAATATGGGTAAGGGGCCCCACATATTCTTGAGGGTAAGTAGGAAAGAGCTATTTAAGACAAGCGCGTGTCTACACCCGATCCGCTGTGCGAGTGCGTCGTGAGATTATTATCAACTGATGGTATCTTTCAACGAAACAAAATAAAATGAAATCTTCGTGGCAGAATCTGCAGGTAGAGTTATCTAACTAATTGATGTTATATTTGTAAATAGGCATGTGGTTTTATGAAAAAGATATATAGTCACTTAACTATGTAGCAAAATGATTTCTAGTGCAACCTTTATACGATATCTTTAATTCTATAATTAACTTTTAAAATTGAGGAAATGGTTTTTGGAACATCTAAATAATTAGGTTTTTGGAATTCTACAAATTGTTTCTCAAATTAGAAATTAATCATTATTTTTTATTGAAAAAAGTCAGAGTAAATGTGTCATTTCGTATGAAAAATAGATTTTGCTATATTTTATCTTCACATTTGCTATTTGACTATATAAACTATATAAACTAGGGGCGAGTATGGGTCGGTACAGTTCGGAGATTCAGAATTCTCCGGAACCGTACCAAAATTCGGACATCACTGAATTTGATCTCCGGAACCGTACCAAAAATTTGGGACAGTTCGGTTCGAAGATTTTTATTTTTCGGTTAGGTTCGGTTTGTTATTCGAGACTATCAAAATGGTTCAGTTCGGTATGGTTCGGTTTGGATCTTTGGCGAGATTTCTTATTTTCTTAATTTTTTTTGAATGACTGCATAGTTATATTTTAATTTTTATATTCTTTAAAAAAAATTCATCCATACTTTATCAATATGAAGATTTTATTTTGAAATCAACTTTAGAAGTAACTCTAAATTTTAGTTATTCATTTTGTATATGCTTTTAAAAAAACAATATTCATCAATATTTCTTCATATATATTAAAATTTTTATTTTGAAATCAACTTTAGAAGTAACTCTAAATTTTAATTCAGACTAAATTTATGCAACTAGTATTTGAAAATTTAAAATTCAAACAAAATATAGTGTAGGTTTTTTCTTAAAAAAATATTCTTTAATCTTTCATACCATTTTAAATAATTTTTTTACAATAGGAAAAATACAATTATAGATAAAGTATTACTAAGCATGAAA